ACATCCATGACTGGGACACCCCTTACAGAAACACCCCTTACAGAAACATCCCCTACAGGAATATCCCTGACAGGAACACCCACGAGAAGAACATCACTCACTATCTTGGAGGAACACTCCCAACAAAAGCATCTGCAATGAGAACATCCTTGCAGGAACGTTATAGAATGTGTCTTAGCAACTTCATATGAATTTGGGCGGTTGGGTAGCCTAATGGTTAAAGCGTTGGCTCGTCACGCCGAAGACCCGGGTTCGAATCCCCACAAGGGCACAATGTGTGAAGCCCATTTCTGGTGTCCCCCGCAGTAATGTTGCTGGAATATTGCTAAAAGCGGCGTAAAACCAAACTCAGTCAGTCAGTCAGTCATATGTATTTACCACGTAGCGTAAACGTGTATACGAAGTATAGATTCCATTCTGACATTGTTTGTGGTCAATAAACGCCCATATTTCTAACAGCAAAAGTCACCTGTTAAATGTCATGGAAGCCTAAAGTACTTAAGTTTTCGATCAGTCAAATATCTTGAAAAGGTCAAGTCGTATCTAAGATATCTACCGAGGACGGGAGAAGTATTTTTCATGACGGTATGGAATGTGCGGTGCATTCAAAATAGTGGTGTTATAATATTCAAACACCCTTGAGTCGATGTTCAAGGGTCCTGAGTAAATACGTCGAGTTACCCGAGATTCGACACAACCGCACAATTACGTATTGATAATACGCTGAGGGACAGCTTTTCCTTCGCGATAACCGTGCGTTCGACAAAGCAGTGTTCGACATAACGGTGTTTGAATTTATGTAAAATGAAACACGCAGAGAAGCTCGAAATAAGACGAGTGTCAACATTAGGGCAAATGGCGACTGCCATTAAATTGATGTAGTGGAAGTGTTAGTTCAGAAAGTCGCCACCCATTTCATATCATAGCATGCAGTGAAGACATGGAGTGTCTTACAAACCGTGCCGGAAATACAACAAGCAACAATGGTGATTTGATGGTGACATATTTGATACGGATGTCACAACCTTAGTGAGTGAGTTTAGTTTTACGCCGCTTTTAGCAATATTCCAGCAATGTCACGAGGGGACCCCAGAAATTGGCTTCACACATTGTACCCATATAGGGAATCGACCACGTGTCTTCGGCTTGACGAGCGGACGCTTTAACCACTAAGCTCCCCTACCGCCCCTTTTTGGAGCCTTATGCCTTTTCTGCTGTATTCAGTTCGGAAAGGTTTTGACGATTCTGATGTAATCCAATTTTCAAGAGTTTGCTCCCTTTGTCCAGTCTTAGTGCAATGGTAAATTATGTTACAATATTACATGCCTATTACGATAGATATTTGTAGCATGGTTTGGTGAAACCTCCATATCAACTGAAAATACAAATGACTTCCACGTGGCTCCACGGTAACACTGTATATATTAGTAAATATTACGTATTACTCCAATTTCTTCTCGCAGGGCCTTACCACCAACATGTTCGTAACGATGTTAACCCTGACTGGGAGAAGGAGATAGTGGGCACCTGGTGTTCCCCTTTGTACAACCCTTAAGAAGCTGGAGAAAATATTCTTTCATTTAACTTAAAGTTTATCTGACAAGTAAGAATCGTATGTTCTTTAAATTATTTTGCGAAGCATATAACCCCTTGCCTTGCATTGCAGCGCAGATCTACCCTCGTAGATATAGCGACACGTTTTTATAGGCCGATGTAATGCTGTAAATATGGCATGCCTTGTAGTGGCAACAGGCGGATAGAATATCGTAGATTTGGCGTGATGCTGCAGTAGTCTGATAAGTGTTGCACATTTAGCGTCATTTTGTTGGTGGCTGGTGAGTTCAGGAGATAATGTCTCAGGCAGCCAGAGGAAGTAGCGGCCCGAGCATGTGACTTGTAATATGATTCGGTTAATAGTGTACGGACGCGGATAAAGCATGCTCCGTTGACAGGATTTGAAACACGAGGATGTGCAAAATATATGAGCTGGGATCTTCCAGCTCTCAGCTTCTCACGTTCAGACACAATCTCTCGGTGTCTCACTTTTGGAATCTCATACCGAGTGTCTCTCAAGGTGTCATTCTTGGTATCTCACATCCGGGTATCAAATAACGCGACAGTCTCACTTGGCATCTCATACTTAGTTATGTCACTCTCTACATCACAATCTCGGTGTCTCATATTTAGTTATCTTAATCTCTACATCACAATCTCGGTGTCTCATATTTAGTTATCTTAATCTCTACATCACAATACAATCAGTGCCTCATATTTAGTTATCTTAATCTCTACATCACAATCTCAGTGTCTCATATTTAGTTATCTTAATCTCTACATCACAATCTCAGTGTCTCATATTTAGTTATCTTAATCTCTACATCACAATCTCAGTGTCTCATATTTAGTTATCTTAATCTCTACATCACAATCTCAGTGTCTCATATTTAGGTCTTAATCTCTCATATTTAGTTATCTTAATCTCTACATCACAATCTCAGTGTCTCATATTTAGTTATCTTAATCTCTACATCACAATCTCGGTGTCTCATATTTAGTTATCTTAATCTCTACATCTTAATCTCTACATCACAATCTCGGTGTCTCATATTTAGTTATCTTAATCTCTACATCACAATCTCGGTGTCTCATATTTAGTTATCTTAATCTCTACATCACAATCTCGGTGTCTCATATTTAGTTATCTTAATCTCTACATCACAATCTCGGTGTCTCATATTTAGTTATCTTAATCTCTACATCACAATCTCGGTGTCTCATATTTAGTTATCTTAATCTCTACATCACAATCTCGGTGTTATCTTAATCTCTACATCACAATCTCATATTTAGTTATCTTAATCTCTACATTACAATCTCGGTGTCTCATATTTAGTTATCTTAATCTCTACATCACAAATCCTCATATTTGTTATCTTTAATCTCTACATCACAACTCGGTGTCTCATATTTAGTTATCTTAATCTCTACATCACAATCTCGGTGTCTCATATTTAGTTATCTTAATCTCTACATCACAATCTCGGTGTTATCTTAATCTCTCTCATATTTAGTTATCTTAATCTTAATCTCTACATCACAATCTCAGTGTCTCATATTTAGTTATCTTAATCTCTACATCACAATCTCGGTGTCTCATATTTAGTTATCTTAATCTCTACATCACAATCTCGGTGTCTCATATTTAGTTATCTTAATCTCTACATCACAATCTCGGTGTCTCATGCTTAGTTATCTTAATCTCTACATCACAATCTCGGTGTCTCATATTTAGTTATCTTAATCTCTACATCACAATCTCGGTGTCTCATGCTTAGTTATCTTAATCTCTACATCACAATCTCGGTGTCTCATATTTAGTTATCTTAATCTCTACATCACAATCTCGGTGTCTCATATTTAGTTATTAATCACAATCTCGGTGTCTCTTAGTTATCTTAATCTCTACATCATCTTAATCTCGGTGTCTCATATTTAGTTATCTTAATCTCTACAATCACAATCTCGGTGTCTCATATTTAGTTATCTTAATCTCTATCACAATCACAATCTCTCGGTGCCTGATATTTAGTTATCTTAATCTAATCTCTACATCACAATCTCGGTGTCTCATGCTTAGTTATCTTAATCTCTACATCACAATCTCGGTGCCTCATATTTAGTTATCTTAATCTCTACATCACAATCTCGGTGTCTCATGCTTAGTTATCTTAATCTCTACATCACAATCTCTTAGGTGCCTGATCGGTTTAGTTATCTTAATCTCTACATCACAATCTCGGTGCCTCATTTAGTTATCTTAATTCTACATCACAATCTCGGTGCCTCATATTTAGTTATCTTAATCTCTACATCACAATCTCGGTGTCTCATTTAGTTATCTTAATCTCTACATCACAATCTCGGTGTCTCATGCTTAGTTATCTTAATCTCTACATCACAATCTCGGTGTCTCATATTTAGTTATCTTAATCTCTACATCACAATCTCGGTGCCTCATATTTAGTTATCTTAATCTCTACATCACAATCTCGGTGCCTCATATTTAGTTATCTTAATCTCTACATCACAATCTCGGTGCCTCATATTTAGTTATCTTAATCTCTAAATCACAATATCGGTGTCTCATGCTTAGTTATCGCAATCTCTACATCACAATCTCGGTGTCTCATGCTTAGTTATCTTAATCTCTACATCACAATCTCGGTGCCTCATATTTTTAGTTATCTTAATCTCTACATCACAATCTCGGTGCCTCATATTTAGTTATCTTAATCTCTACATCACAATCTCGGTGTCTCATGCTTAGTTATCTTAATCTCTACATCACAATCTCGGTGTCTCATGCTTAGTTATCTTAATCTCTACATCACAATCTCGGTGTCTCATGCTTAGTTATCTTAATCTCTATATCACACACTCGTTATTTCTACTCAGTTATCTCTCTCTACATCACAATCTCAGTGTCTCATATATACTGTAGTTATCTCACTCTCTTCGTCACAATCTCAGTGTCTCATATATACTGTAGTTATCTCACTCTCTACGTCACACACTCGGTATTTCTATTAAATTATCTCACTCTCTACATCTCACTTTCTATATCGTCTATATCGCTATTGTCTGCTGGAAAAGAAATCTTGTAAACAAATACATATTTAACACGGCGGTTCCTATCCCTTTTTGTGTTCAACATAAACGCTATTAACAACGTCTAGCAGTTACCTTCACAGCATCAGGACAATCAACCCTTTACTACAAAAGAACATTTCAACATTTCAATCCACATTTCAGCTCATCTGACTTTAATATCTTTGTTGCTATTACAAACTGCTGAGTACATATATAGGTGAGCTACAGAGCCGTTGCAATATTTTGTACAATTGGGAACATACGGATCCGTGCTGCCCGGAATATACGGGTCCGTCCTTCCAGAGACACGAGTCCCACTAGACACGCCTTGGCTGTAAATGGAATCTCACCTTATTGATGGGTAGAACTGACGAGCGGCGGCAGTGGCAGCAGCAGTACCCGACACCGCCCCCAGGACGTGGTGATACTGTTTCCTTACAACTACTCTTCTACAAGACTGGCCTCCGGTCGATTGGTATTAAAACTGGATATCCTTATAACAATATGAAGGTGAACGGAACAGGTGGCTCTCTTCGTTAAAACAGACTTGTGTTCCGCATTGAAGAAACACAATGTATCACTTTCTACAGATTGTACACATTCCTGACCAGCAACAGAATCCAAACACAATTATCTTCCGAACTCAAATCCAGGTTTTCTAAGCAAACGTCAAAGGGAATGACGCGATCTCGACTACGCGACCGAGCAAAGGAGGTTTGCTGCGGATTAATCTCCTCAGCCTCGCCCTATATTGATAGCCTTCAATGTTTGTTGTCTCCCCGATAACACCCCCTTCCCTCCTTACCCACACTCTCAAGCTGTCATCAGGTTCTATATTAATCTGGTGACACACTGTCCGGTCATGATAATCCCGAAAACAATCGCTTGTCGCACTGTATGAAGGTTAAATAAACGCGATCGTGATGTCAAAATATAAATATGGCGTAGAGCGTGTTCGAACAGGTGCAAGCTTAAACAGAATAGTTTGTAAAGTGTGGACAGAGAGGAACCTGGAGTTACAGACATATATATCGATATACAGTTTGGTAGAAGCAACAACAATAAATATACAAGATATGTGAGTGAGTGTGAAAGAATATATTGTAATGTTGAGTAAGTGAGTGAGTGAGAAGGTATTGCAACGTTTCAGCACTATGTCGACAGATGACATCAGAAAAAGGCTCCATCGCCAGTACCCACGCAGGGAATCGAACCTGGTTTTCGGCGTGATGCGCATTTCATATCGCGACGGCGTACCATAATCTGTATCAATGTATGGATTCGAACCCGGTTACTGCTGTAACCACTGCGCTCCCACACGGATGTTAAGTTCAGGGCTTAGATTTTCGAAGCTCTCTTAGAGCTAAGATAGTCGTAAGTGCCATACATTAACATTAACTTACGACTATCTTAGCGCTAAGAGAGCTTCGAAAATCTAGGCCCTGGAGTAGAATATCTTTGTGGTTATATATGTAATATTATTAACAAAATAGGGGGTATTTCATTTTGAGGTGATATTATTTACAAGCCAAGTTGTGTCATTGTATGTGAATTTACAAAATAATTACTTCATTCACAACGTCACATGACCTTCGTAGGTAGAACTTATGCAAGGGTTTTCATGATGTGCCCGTGAACATGGTGGGGGTAACAATCGAAGTGTACAGTGAAACGTGCCCGACGTCCACGTGGTATTCCACGTGTGACGGGCCGTCACGTTACTGCAAGACGTCGTTGGTGCCAAAAGCACAGCGCTGGACCAAGCGTCGTTGGACTAACGTTATGTTTTCGGATGAATCCAGGTGTACTTTGGACTTCCTTCACAGGGAGGGAACCCGTGTCTTCGGTGCGACGAGCGAACGCTTTAACCACTACACTACCAACCGCCCCGGAAGCATGTGGTACCAGATGCGCGCCGACATGGACGTCGTTTTATGTTTCAACATTACAACGTAAGACCACACCGGGCTCGTATTGTTACTGAGTACCTCCATCAGTAGGAAATATCCACCTTACTAGGCTATCACTCAGTCCAGATTTGTTACCCATCGACAACAACCACCGACCACTCTCAACGAACCTACGCTACCCTGAAGATGGTATGGACCAAGTCGACATTGGATGCTTCATTAGGACTATGCCTCGTCAATTCCGGGATTGTCTTGAGAAAAGAAGTGTATTAACGCGATATTAACGAGTTTGACTTTTCATGGTAGACGTGAAGGACAGGGCGGCGATTTGGCCAATCATCTAGCAAAATCTATGGTCATGTGACTCTCAACGACTAGTACACATCTCAGTCGGATGTTCCTAATCCATTGCTAAACTATTTATTCCTTTAAAGATATATAACATCAATACTTGTTACACATTTTTACTGAATATCTCCTGATATTTTGACAGGATATTTATGAAATTCTTTCCTGATAATATTATGCATATAATGTAGATATTTCAGACACTGAATGGAGTAGTATCTTCACAAATATATTCTGATGAAGTTAGTGAGTGAATATGGTTTTACGCCGCTTTTTAGCAATATTCCAGCAATATCACGGCGGGGGACACCAGAAATGGGCTTCACACATTGTACCCATGTGGGGAATCGAACCCGGGTCTTCGGCGTGACGAGCGAACGCTTTAACCACTAGGCCACCCCACCGCCCCGTTATGATGAAGTAGTGTAAGACACAAAATACTGTTATCGCAAGTAAACACACTCAAGGCCCAGCATTCCACGCTGCCCGTTTAGTGCAGACACACTGTATGTCGACAGTAAATCTCTCGTAAATATAATGACATCAATACAACGTTATTACCTCTGAGATTTACCTTCAGTAAGTGTGATTTATGTGGGTATTTAAGGTGCGTAGATTTCTCCTATCAGTTGGCACTGTGTCAAGATTATGTGCCACTCAGTCATCCGGGTACTTACGCCTTGCAGTCACGTGACATGCCAGCTGTGCCAAATCATTAAAATGGAAGTACTGATTTATATTTGCTTCGTAAACATATTTTCGCCAGGCTCTTTAGTTCCGAAACGATTTAACTTGTTCGCCGAATGAGATGTATTAAACAAATGTCTAGTACTGCTTGGCAACTAATCAATCATATTTTCGAATTATTGATCTTATAAGAATGTTTCCAGTGTTGCAAGTGCAGAAATAAGGCGGCCTAATATCGTAAGTAGCAAGCTCCAGGTCAACACATGGCGCTATGAGTAACATACATGATTAAGTAATGCAGAACGTGTGCATCGCTGCAGGGAGCTTGTGAATATCCGTGTGCACATACACGCTGTTGGAGATTAAAGATTTATCATATTTATATTCATAAATTTGAACTTTTCTTCATCAAAATATATAGATAAAAATAGTCGCTATAAATTCTGACGTTATACCTTTAAGGGCGGACCTAGCAACCTGTCATGTCTGCACTATGCAGCTAGTTGCAAGATATAAGGATCTACTTGAACTGACACATATATCATTATACGTAACTGTTGCATATACTTATAGATAAGGTTCCTCCGTCAAATAAAAATATCTGTGTAAAATATAGTCACACTGCCTGACGCACGGCATTAAGGGGATAAATCATGGGATTGGAGTCAGTATTTGTGGGTATTCATGATCCATGATCCATGATCCATGGTACATATCACTAAGAATCCGGACTAAAGTACAAACGTTCATTCATACACATGTGTTTACCTCGGGATATAAGCGGATTAATTATGAGCGGTCCCATGCCTCTCCCTCCCCTGTTACACAAACATTCACGCACGTACACGCACATGCACACACACGCGCACACAAAAGACGCATACTGTGTTGTAGACAACAAAAGCGCCCAGGTAGACGTACAATGCCAAAAGGGAATGACACCATTTTCCATACTGAAGGTTCAACCGCCGTACTATTCTGCTAAGTGGAAGGGTAAACAAGACCCGTGATAAGCCGCAGTGCCTGGGTGTCGTGTTTCCGCCATGTGCCGAGCATCCTAGTCCCAGGTATGCTGTACACAACGTCATTCAAGGGCATCAAACCGGCGACATTGACATGTGATGAATAGTGATCCACCTTGGTCACGAGCGGCGCCATCATCTGTGACATATTGAACTGAGTCGACTTCGTCACCACGGCCACTGATGTACTTCCTCCACATCCTCTTTGACCACCTGTACGATGCCAGGTTGTGATATCTGATCAGTGCCACGTTTAATAGAACCATACCCTAACATTGATAGATGCAGCTGCCTTGGCTGTCATATCACCCTTAACATTGGTATTTTCAACCACCAGGGATTCCAATATCGCCCTTAACATTGATATACTCAACGGCCTTGCTGGCCATGTCAGACTTAACGTTGATATAACTCAGCTGTATTGGTTTACATACCACCATTAGCATTGATATACTGAATGTTCTTGTTGCCATACTACCCTTAACGATGATATACTTAACAGCCTTGGTTGCCATACTACCCTAAACGATGATATACTTAACAGCCTTGGTTGCCATACTATCCTTAACGATGATATACTTATCGACTTTGGTTTCCATTCATTGATATACTCAACAGCCTTGGTTGCCATACCACCCTTATCATTGATATACTTAACTGATTTGGTATATATGTATAATGGTATTTAACATGTCACGTTATTGCTCATATAATCAGATTATTGCAGATCACAGCTTTACCAAATGTCCAAACCAGACATTCAAGAAGAAACCTTTTCCCCAGTGCATATACCCCGTCACTATGCAGTCATAGAAGTCTAGGACCGAGCGATCTCCGACGCTGCATCCATCGCCTCCAGCAAGACATCTTCAACATCGTGAAGAGGGAGAATTGGGGCTCCAGCTGCGCTCTGTATCCAGCTCTACACATGAAGATCATCACTGACCTGCAAGGTCAGGTCATGGTTTTAGGTCTTGCATCATATGGCCTGGGTGTAGTGAACTTAAAACAAAACCCCTTGATGTATAATGCCGCGAATTCATTCTTGAACTGTCTGGTGGTAGACATCTGTACTTTAGACAGCCTTGGTCCCGATCCACAGAGCGTTTTTAGCGCTACGACATTCGCACGTCTATGATTAACTATAGAGCTGCGACAGGTCGTAACGTTACGAATGTGTGGATCGGGGCCCTGGATAGGCGTTACTTCTTCCCTGATAAGTTTCCTAATACTAACAAGTTTGATGAATCTCAAGGTGAATGGCAGTGATCTGAAACAACAGTCGAACATTTGAACAGGCATTTGATGCAGATAGAAGCATCTGGCCATCAGAAATAGCCTTCAAGAAATAGCCTTCAATGTGGGTTTTTCCAAAACCGTTCCAGATTCAATTATTCTTGGCTAAATACGTCAATGAATATGACATGAAGCGTCCATAATATATTACTCGCCAATCAATACGGTCGTTAGAACAGTTCACCTGGCACAACGAGGAAACACCGACCTTGTAACAACCCTACTGCCCCTCTCTTGGGGATAACCCGTGGACAACTGGACATTATTCTCTGACCAATTAGCCGATTACGTACAGGTGTAGATAGGAAAACCCCAAAGGAGGTATTTTCTTAAATCAGTAGCGGTATTCACTTGCTGGTTCTGATCCAAAGTTCACGAGCAACGGATTAGGTTTGTCTATTCAGAGGTTCAGATATGAGGTGGAGTGTGTTATGTAAATATTTAACGATCGGAAAGTTAACAATGCATTATATATC